TGGCCTGGGAAAGCAGTTGAGGACGGCCCAAAGCCTTGGGACCCTGCACCTGCGTGGGAGACCTGAAAGAAGCTCCTGGCTCCTGACTTCAGATTGGCACAGCACCGACTGTTGCAGCCACTTGGGGAGTGACCATTGGACGGAAGATCTTCCTCTCTGTCTTCCACCTCTCTGTATATCTGACTTTGTAATAAAAATAAGTAAATCTTTTAAAAAATGAAATTGTTCTAACTTCAACGAGGCAAGAACACCACGTTGGCTGAACCCCCCGAACATGTGACGTACCTTCCTGAGGGAGAGCCTTACCTTGAAATCCAGGTGAGACTGGCTCTGGGACTCCTGAGAACTCTAACATCTGCAGGCGCTAAAGGCTTTTATAGGAAATGGAGTAGCATTTGCATTCAATACTGCGCGTATCCTCTCATATGCTTTACATCATTTCTAGAGACTTACAATACCTAGTACAATGTAGATGTCCTAGAATTCGTCCCGATGCTGTGTCGTGGAGGAAATAATGACAGGGGAACAAAGCGTCTGCATGTTGGGTCCAGATGTGGTATTGTTTTCTGAATGCTTCAGTTGCCTCTGAAACCGGGCATGGATATGGGGGTGGGGGAGGGGGGGGAGACTGTACTGTGAAGCCTGGAAATCAGGGAGATGAGGCACAAAGCCATCCGCTGCACGTCGCTACCTCATGCTTTCCCCCAGAGTACGGAAGAACCTACAGACTAAACGTCACCATGCCATGGGGCATCCGCTGAGCTCTTTCATCAGCACCACGATATCCACAGGCAGCAAGCAGCCAAGGAGAAACACACTTTGCAGGAAGCTGTTTCCAAGGTCTCCGTTAAGCCTCTTTGTACCAAGAGGCGAGCAACATACCAAAAATAAAGATGCCTCGGCAGGTGAAGGAGAGAGATTTGATGCGTTATTGTCGAAAGCAGTAAGATTCAGTAAGGCTTCAGATGGCTGCAGCTCAAGGCTTAGACCTTTCCCTTTGTCCTTCCAAAGTGTTCTTCAGTGGGTAGATTAGCCCCATTAAAACAGGAGATACAATCTAAAAACCAGTCAAGCAACAGGGGACATTGGCATGCACTGCAACCTCATAAACTTACAAAAGAAAGAAAGGAATCCAGGAGGAAATCACATAGGCAAAAGAGAAGACAAAAAGCTACACAATTTTTTCTTAAAAATATCACTTTAATCCCCAACTGTGTTTACTTTTATTTCCTTAAAAGGCAGGTAGATAGAAAGGTCTTGCATTTGCTGGTTTACTCCCCAAATGCCTGTCACAGTCAGGCCTGGGCCAGGCTGGGACCAGAAGCCAGGAAGCGTCAGGGACCCAAGTTCTCCAGCAGGTGATGACCTGCTGGAGGTCCCAGGTTGCGCATGTGCAGACAACAGAGGCAGGACTCACACCCAGGGACTCTGGCATGAGATGCAGGCATCTCAAGGAAGGGTTGTCTTAGAAACTATGGCAACCAGCAGCAGCTCCCCTACGTAGCTTCAAAACATCTTCTGGGGTCTCATTACTGGAGCCTGGTATTTCTTCAAACAAAAAGCGAGACAGAGATTGAAGGGTTGTGCAAAGAGTTTCTGTTTGGCTCAACTTTCATTCATTTGAAGAGGCAGAGAGAAAGAGAAACAGATCACGCCCAAGGCTGTTTCACTACCCAAAGCCTCAGTAGCCAGGGCGGGGCCGGGCCAGAGTTAGGAACTGGAAACTCATCTAACTTCTCTGCAGCCTCCTTGGATCTGCCTTAGCTGGGGGGAACAGGAAGTGCAATCAGAACTAGAATCTAGGTGCTCTGAGACTTGGATGTTCCAATCATTGTCCTAACCACTAGGATAAACAGCATTCCCCGCCCCCCCCCCCCAGCCCCCTACAAAGAGTATCTTGTGTAATAGAAAGGGAAGTAAGTACAGCCTGGGGGGAGGGGGGAAGAAAAAGACGATCATTACAAATAGAGCCAGGAAGTGAGCACGTGGTGCAGCAGTTAAGCTTGGGGTTAAGGTTGGGGTTCCAGCCCCTGACATGAGCTTCCTGCTAATGTGGTCTCCGAGGCAGTAAATAATTACTCAAGCAGGGTGGTCCCCATCACCCCATCCATGGGAGGCTCACACTGAGTTCCTAGCTTCTGGCTTCAACCTGGCCCAGCCCCAACTGTTCTGGGCATTTCAGGAGTAAACCAGCAGATGGGAGCTCTTTCTGTGTGTCTCTGCCTGTCAAGTAAAAAACCAAAAACGGGCCCGGTGGCGTGGTCTAGTGGCTAAAGTCCTCACCTTGAACGCGCTGGGATCCCATATGGGCGCCGGTTCTAATTCCGGCAGCTCCACTTCCCATCTAGCTCCCTGCTTGTGGCCTGGGAAAGCAGTCGAGGACAGCCCAAAGCCTTGGGACCCTACACCCAAGTGGGAGACCCAGAAGAGTCTTCTGGCTGCTAGCTTCAGATCTGCTCAGTTCCGTCCATTGCGGCTACTTGGGTAGTGAACCTACAGATGGAAGATCTTTCTCCCTGTTTCTCCTCTCTGAAATCTGCCTCTCCAAAAAAATAAATAAATAAATAAACAAATCTTTAAAAAATAATTAAAAAACAATTAGCTTGTAACCTGCGACATAGTAGGATAATGGGAATGTAATCAAAGTATTGGCGAGAAGCTGGGCATATCAGCAATGGTGATTAGAGTCTAAGGTAGTTCTTGAGTTGAGGTTTGAAGGATGAACAGGAGTTCGCTAGAGGTACAAGGTGAGGAGTGCTGGGTTATGTGGGGAAAGGATGTTAGAAAGAGGGACAAAAAAAAAACCCCCCACAAAGCTGTGGGTGTGTAAGAAAGTACGGTGTGTAACTCCATGGTTTGGCAAATCTTTAACTTTATTTCTGTGGCTGATTTTGTTTTATGGCTTTTCATTTAAGGGATGTACAGTAACTGTGTAATGGAGAGTCTCGTATTCCAGATGTGAGGATACAATGCAGTATGCATCTCTACTTGCAAATCAAAGAGGGAATCCCGATGAAACTGTTGGACATATCTTGACAACAGGATGCTGGCTTGTCTGCCACTGTCTGTACCCACAATGCTAGGGTGCACCTGAATAGCAGAATGATGAACTTCTGACTGCTTATGAAGGACTGTACTATCGTAGTAACATGGGGGAAGTCAGTGTGGGGGAGAAAACGCGGGGAGGGGGTAAGGAAAATCCCAGAGCCTGTGGAGTTGTACTGTAAAATTAAAAATGAAATAGAGGGAAAGGAAAAATCATGGAGTGTTTTTAAAGCACAACTTAAATAGAAGCCTGGGAATGTGGAAAAGAAGCATGACTTTGGGATCTGTGAAGTCGTGTCTATTTTCATTACAGAAATAGAGGCGATGCACGTGTGAGCAGATATTAGATGATGACACTAAGCAGGGAGGCTGCGCAGAGACCACCGATCTATCCTCCCTCTCTCTCTCTCTCTCTCTCTCTCTCTCTCTCTCTCTCGGACAGAGAGGAAAATCTTCCATCTGATGATTCACTCCCCAAATGACTACAAAGGCCAGAGCTGAGCTGATCCGAAGCCAGGAGCCAGGAGCTTCTTGTAGTTCTCCCTCGAGTGTGCAGGGTCCTAAGGCTTTGGGCCCATTCTCGGCTGCTTTCCCAGGCCACAGGCAGGGAGCTGGGAAGTATGACTAGCAGGGTTAAGCATGACTAGTTGTTCTACCTCCGATGCAGCTCCCTGCTAATTCACCTGGAGAGCGGTGGAGGACAGCCTGAGTTCTTGGTCCCCTGCACACTGTGGGTGACCCAGTTGATATTCCTGGATCTTGGCTTCTGCCTGGCTTAGCCCCTTGCTGAGAGTGAATCAGAGGATGGAAGATCTCTGTCTTTCTTCCCCTCTCTGTAACTCAGCGTTTCAAGTAAATAAATCTTAAATAAATCTTAAAACAAAATCAAACCATGAAGGGAACGGCCACTACCACCTGAACTTACTGATTGCAGAAACAGTGTATCTGATAGTTCATGACAGTATCGCGGAGTAAGAGCTGTAGAAACTGTATCAGACAGCCGTCCGCAGTAACACAAAGTAACAGCACAACTACAAAGTATCCTTGCCCTGAAAAACTAAGACTTCCAGGGAGTTAATGCTTCGTATTCAACTTCCAGTATGGGAGAAAAGAGAGGATTTAAGAACAAACAGAAGGGATGGGGAGAATCCCAGTACCTATAGAACTGTGTCACATAATACAATGTAATTAAAATTAAAAAAAAAAACAAACAAACAGATACATACCACCACATGAGGAAACAGATAAATCCACAGCACAGGACATGCTATATGACAAACTCAGTTTCTTTATCAGATTCATGGGTCAGTGGCAGACAGGGAAATTGAATAGACTATCAACCCGCTATAATATATGGGTTTTATATTAGATCCTAAATGGACAGACCAACCACAGAAAGACATTTGAGTGATATGGAAAAAAAATTCAATATGCTATTGAACTGGCTACTGAAGTTCTCCCAAAAACTTAATTTTCTGGGATGTTATGATCATGGTATTGCGGCTATTGGAAAGAAGATAACCAAATTTAAGAGATGCGCATCTACTTATACAGAGTGAAATAACCTGATGGCTGAGGTTTGTTTTCAATACTTTAAACACACAAGAGTTGTTACGTGGGCACGCAGGAAGCAAGGATAGCAAAATCCTGGTGATCACCGGGGTTGGTTAACAGGTACCTGGAGGTGCATGACTCTACCCTTTATCCTTCTGTGTAATTTTGAAAAATATAATAAGAAAAATGTAACATGGCTACTTTAAGACCAAAAAACCCTGCAAGGCAGTACAAAAAATAATTTCCATTCTGCTGTCATTTAAAAGCAAGTATGAAGCTACTTTAGACTTCAAAAATAAGCTGTTCTCATCCACCCACATTCACTTAGTATGTCTTTTGAATGTACCCCTGTATGCTGATTGCTGGTGAATTGACTACCAGTGAATTAAGTGAAAAATTACCTGTTGTCAATAATCATTACATTGGAGGGTGGAATTCCCAAAACACCACAGCTCTGCAAGAGTTCTTTCTTACGAATCTCCCCTTGATTGTAGTAATTTCCTGAGGATAACAAATACATAGTGACAGATTTCTTTAACTAACCATGGGCATGTGCCTATTCATTCAGTCTTATACCATCGTAGCGCTAAAGGTTTTTAAGATAGCTGAAAAAAAACCCCAATGTGTGGCTACAACTTAAAAAAAAAAGAACAATTTGAAGGAAAGGCAATTCTAAGATTGCTATGTGATGCTCTGTGAGAGAAGACCGGTGACAGCAGGCTCCGCAGATCACCACTGCTGGTCCTTCCTCCCGCCCCCCACTTCTGCCTTTGTGGTCACCTGCTCCAGCCTGTGTGTTTGTTCCACGTTCACTCACCAGTGAGGCCCAGGTTCTTCCTCCCTTACAAGTGGGGACTACCTCAGAAAGTTTGCGGAGGGGTTAGACACCACGGGCCAGAGCACTCGGGAAGGGACTGCCTGTCTTTTTTCCATCCTTGACCTCTATCTTCCCTCTCCTCTGCTTCCTCATTTACCCTTCATCTTGGTCACCCAGATCAAACCTCCCCGCTTTGGGAAGGCCTTCTCCTGATTTCCCTGGCAGGAAAATGCTTTCCAGTGTTCTGCTGGTCAGCATGAGTCGTTCTCCGTGATTCATTTTTTAAATGTCATTGACTTGTATATTCCCGGCTTCCTTTAGCTCTGTTTTGTCTTCAATCTCCAGTATACTGCAGGTGTTCATGAAAGACAGAATGGAGAGGCTCTGCTCAGAGACGCAGGTCACCCAGACAAAAAACAAAACAAAAACGAAAAACAAAACAAAACAAAAAAACAACCCCACATGAGGGGTCTGGCTCTGTGGTGCAGTGGGTTAGGCTGTCATTTCTAAGCACCAGCAGCTCGTATCAGTACTGGCTCATGTTTGGGCTGTTCCACTTCTGACCCAGCTCCCTGCGAATGCGCCTGGGATTGCAAAGAGGGCTGGCCCAATTGCTTGGGCCCCTGCACTCATATGGGAATCCGGGATGAACCTCCTGGTTCCTGACTTTGGCCTGGGCCAGTCCTGGTTATTGTGGCTACTTAGGGAATGAATGAAAGAGATGGAAAAAATCTGTCTGTCCCTCCATTTCCCTAATTCTGACTTTCAAAGAAATCAATAAATAAATCTTTAAAAACAAAACAAAACAAAACAAACCTCCCAAGAGAAACTTTAACCTTTGGAAAGCCTTCCTCTAGTGCTGACTTGGAACTATTTTGAACTCTGGAGTCATTGCATTGCACCTATAAACCACCACTGCAAATACTGCAGATGGTGGGTTTAATTTCAAATTGCATCCATAATACTTTTTGGTTTTCATTCATTTTCAAATTGGATTAAAAACTATAGTCAGTTTTGTGAAAGTCATTTTATTCTGGGAGCCATACACCACACACCTAAACATATACCACATTTCTGTGCTTCCTTATTCATTATTATTTTAAAGATTATTTGGTCTTGGAGAGGTTTGCCCATTAGTGATGATGATTCTGAGAAACTGTTTAAAAAAAAAAAAAAGAGGGGCAGGTGTCTGGCACAGTGGTAAAGATGCTGCCTGGGATATCCACATATCATATCGGAAAGCTTTGGTTCAAGTCCTGGGTCTGCCTTGAACTTCATCTTCCTGCTAATGTGTACCCTGGGAGGCAGCAGACGATGGTTTGAGAAATTGGGTCCCTGACACCCAGGTTGGGAAAGATTTCAATTGTTTCTAGGCTCCTGGCTTTAGTCTGGTCCTAGGCATTTGGGGAGTGAATCAGAAGATGATCTCTCTCTTTCTTCCATACAAAATGAAAATAGGGGATTTCCCATTAAAAAATAGAATTAGGGCCCGGCACGGTGGCGCAAGTGGTTAAGGTCCTCGCCTTGCATGCCCGGGATCCCATTTGGGCGCTGGTTCTATCCCGGCGGCCCCGCTTCCCTTCCAGCTCCCTGCATGTGGCCCGGGAAAGCAGTCGAGGACGGCCCAAAGCTTTGGGACCCTGCACCCGTGTGGGAGACCTGGAAGAGTCTCCTGGCTTCGGATCGGCATAGCATCGGCCGTTGTGCTCACTTGGGGGGTGAATCGTCGGATGGAGGATCTTCCTCTCTGTCTCTCTTCTCTGTATATCTGCCTTTCCAATAAAAAATAATAAAAATAAATCTTTTAAAAAAAATAGAATTAAAAAAATGGGAAGAGGAGCCCAGCGTGGTAGGGTAGTGATTAAAGTCCTCACCTTGTATGTGCCAGGATCCCACATGGGCGCTGATTCTAACCCTGGTGGGCCCGCTTCCCATCCAGCTCCCTGCCTGTGGCCTGGGAAAGCAGTCAAGGACAGCCCAAAGCGTTGGGACCCTGCACCCGTGTGGGAGACCAGGACGAAGCACCTGGGTTTGGATTGGCTCAGCTCTGGCTATTGTGGTCACTTTTGGAATGAATCATTGGACAGAAGATCTTCCTGTCTGTATATCTGACTTTGCAATAAAAATAAATAAATCTTTTTAGAAACGGGAAGAGAGGTTTGAGTAATTGGTGCAGAAGTTACAGCTGTGCTTCACATGTCTGGATCACTGTTGCAGCGTCTGGGTTTGAGAGCTGGCTCCACTTCCACTTTTCGCTTCCTGTTGAAGGCCAGCCAGACAAGAGGCAGACGATGGCTCAAGTATCTGAGTCCTTGTCACTCATGGGGGAGCCCCATGTTGAGTTCTGGAACCCTGCCTGAACCTGGCTCACATCCAGCTGTTGCGGGGAGTGAACCAGCAGGTTGAAGACTTTCATCTCTCTGTCTCTCTACCTTTCAAATAAAATGGGGAAAAAATTCTTCAAATGAGCATAGGACTTGAATATAAATTTGCTAGTTTTTTAAGGATTCTTTTTTTTATTGGAAAAGAAGATTTTTCAGAGAAGGAGATATAGAAAGATCTCCTGTCCACTGGCTCAATCCCCAAGTGGCCACAATGGCTGGAGCTAAGCTGAAGCCAGGAGCCAGGAGCTTCTTCCAGGACTCCAACGCAGATGCAGGGTCCCAAGGTTTTGGGCCGTCCTCAACTGCTTTCCCAGGTCACAAGCAGGGAGCTGGATGGGAAGTGGAGCTATCGGGACATGAATTGGCACCCATATGGAATCCCAGCGAATGCAAGGTGAAGATTAGCCACTAGGCTATTGCAATGGGCTTTTGAATATAAATTTGGCTAATAAGCATGTGAAAAGATGCTATCCATTGTTATGAAAATGTAAATAGAGCCAGGAGCTGTGACCTAGTGGCTAAAGTCCTCGCCTTGAATGCTCTGGGATCTCATGTGGGCGCCGGTTCGAATCCCGGCAGCTCCACTTCCCATCCAGCTCCCTGCCTGTGACCTGGGAAAGCAGTTGAGGATGGCCCAAAGCTTTGAAGTCCTGCACCCACATGTGGGCTATCCGGAGGAGGTTCCTGGCTCCTGGCTTTGGATCAGCATAGCATTGGCCATTGCACTCACTTGGGGAGTCATCAGACGGAAGATCTTCCTCTCTGTCTCTCCTCCTCTCTGTATATCTGACTTTGTAATAAAAATAAATAAATCTTTTAAAAAAGATCATAGATAAATGAAACATAGAGAGAGAGAGAGTCTTCTGTCTGCTGGCTCATTCCCCAGTGGTTGCCATGGAGGCAGCTGGGGTGGTCACCAGGAGCATCTTGTGCGTCCCGTGTCCCAGGGTCCCAACCACTTAGACCATTGTCTGCTGCTTTTTCGGGCACGTTAGCAAGGAGCTGGGTTTGAAGTTGAGTAGCTCACACCACAGGCAGCAGCTTTTCCGGCTGTCCCATAGCAGCAATCTCAATGACTAAATCTTTAAAAAAAACAAAATTAATATACAATGCTACCATGTGTAAGTCAGAAATTATACTCACGATTTAGCTCAAAGGAACTGAAAATGAGTACTCGGGCACACATACAACTAGTGTTCACAGACGCGTTATTTACAATAACCAAAAAGTGTGAACCACTCAAGTGTGCCTCCAGACAAAGATGATGGGTAAGTGAAGTTTGGCATATATGCATACAGAAAACGGATTACTCAGCTATAAAAAGGAGTCAGTTCTGGCACATGCTATCACATGGGTAGGCTATGAAACACTGTGTAATTAATACAAACCCGACACGGTGACAATTCTTAGGAGCTTGCTCGTGTAGGAGACCAGCAAAGTCCAATTCATAGAGACAGGCTGGGGGTGGGGCGGAAAGCGGACTTATTGCTTAATAGGAATATAGAGTTTCTTTTTGGGATGATGAAATAGTGGTCGCAGTTACACAATGTAGTGAATCTACTTACTGTCACCAAATCAAACACACACAAATGCTCAAAATGATAAACGTTGTTATATAGTTCACCATAATTAAACATGTTCAAAATGGTATTTTGTTAGGTATATTTGATCACAGCTACAATATATTTTCACTGGACAAAATCTTTCATTCATCAATTACTACTGTGAAATGGAAATTATGCTTTTAAAATTGATAACTTTTAAAAGGATCATTAAAATTAAAACAATGAAAAAAACAAGTATGGAGCACCATGTTTGTATAGCCAAACTCAAGAAACACTTCCAGAGGCTATTACTAGTCAATGCCTAGTCTTATGAATAACACAATTTTTCATCATTCCCCAAACATTGCATTCATACTGACTTTCAGTAAACTGAGAAGGTACTTTGTTACTTTTTTTTTCCGATTTGTTACTTACAGATGGTCCTTAACAAGACCAAACGTATGACAATGTTTTCTCAAATATGACAGGTACGTATTTGAATCACATGGGAGAAGTGCACGAATGGGTAGAGTATCTGGTTGCTACACAAATATTAAGCCTTTTAAATTGCATTATATTGGATTACTCCCTTTCCACGCTTCTTTAAAAAAAAAAGCAATATATTTTTATTTCAAAGACAGACACACATTATACATAGACAATGGAGACAGGGCTGGGGGGAAATCTCCCATTTGCTGAGTCATTCCTTAATTACTTGCAAGCAACAGCTAAGGAGGTTGGGCGAGGCCAAGGCTAGCAGCCAGAAAGTCCATTCAGGTCTCTCACTTGGCTGGCTTCATCCAACCACTTGAGCCACCACCTGCTCCCTCCCAGGCCACATATCAGCAGGAAGCCTGAAGGCGACTAGAGCCTGGACTCAGCCCCAGCTCTCTAGATTGTCCCCGGGTTGCAGCTTAATTGCTGTGCAAATACCGACTCCCCCATTCTGTCATGTTAATATTGCTGTGTTTTCCTTTTGATTCTCTCTTTTTAAAAGATTTATTTATTTTCCTTGGAAAGGCAGATTTACAGAAAGAAGGAGAGAGAGAAAGATTCTCCATCTGCTGGTTGGAGGGTGGCCACAGCAGCCAGGGCTGAGCCGATCCAAAGCCAGCAGCCAGGAGCTTCCTCCCACATGGGTACAGAGTCCCAAGGAAAAATCTTTGTCCCTGAAGGACTTTCTCTTTGGTTGGTCCCTAAAGTTTCATTAGCACTTCTTTTATGGCATCTCATAGAGAGTCAAGGCCCTTCTATTTTTTACACTTAAAACTCTGTAACTTATTAATAAAAGCTCTGGGAAGTATAAGAAACTCTAATTAAGCAAGCAGTTGGCAAGACATCAACATTTTTACAAGCCCTGCTTCACTGCAAAAACAGACGGGTGCATGTAAGGTTATCTGAGTAAACAGACATTTAGAAAGATATACCACTGCTTAGGCACTCTTTGGCTAGTGTGACCCTGTGGTAATTCTTCTATCAACCTAGAGAAGAATACCCAAACATTTAGACAGACACCATTACAACACAAACAGGGAGGTGGGACCCTTGAGCCACATTCTGAAATCTCCACAACTCCCTCAAAGGGATACAATTTACGCCTTCAAATATTGCTGATTTATTTCATTCTTAGGAGGATACCCTCAATACTTACTTTGTAAGGAATCTCACCTATATTGGGCTAGAAAGGAAAGACAGATGAGACTAACAGTTGAGCCTGGGTCTAAATATATCTCCAGAAGGAAAATTCTAAACAGCTGTGAGTTTCAGAGAATGATGAAAGATAATCTAAAAGCTCTACGGTGACTTAGAAGCCTGGAGAATCCCTTTTAGCATAGGATACCTGCACAGGCGAGATACGAGGTAAACATTCTAGAGTTTTTGGCCACACTAAGAAGGAAGCCAGTGGTTCTTTCTTCTGTTTTCAAGGACCAAAACAATAGGTAAGCATGAATGAAAGCTAATCCTAGCGTTATCATGATGATGGTATTTGCTTATAGTTGGTGGCCAAAATTAGGGAAACAGAAGACAAGGTTTGTGTACAGACAAAGATACTTCCATGTAAAGAGGGTTTCTTCAAGGGTAATACCTTGGATGAATGAACTAGAGGGGAAAAAAAACCTCCCTCAAGATAGGGATGGTGGGTTGGTACACCCCTTCCTCAGGCCCTGTTTCCATTCAGGGGGGAAATCAGTAAGAACTGTAAGCCACATCCTTGCTTTCATTTGGTGGGAGGGATGGTGCTTTCTGGAAGGCTAGTTTCACCAGCATTACTAATCCCACATGCATTTGCAGAACTTTGGGAAGCATCCCCCCAGGAGGAGGACTCCACTCTAGCTCCCTGCTCGTGGCCTGGGAAAGCAGTCGAGGACGGCCCAAAGCCTTGGGACCCTGCACCCATGTGGGAGACCGGGAGTAATTTCCTGGCTCCTGGCTTCGGATTGGCTCAGCTCTGGCTGTTGTGGCCTGTTGGAGAGTGACCAGTGGATGGAAGATGATTTTTTTCTGCCTCTCCTTCTTTTTCTATAATTCTGCCTTTCCAACAAAAATATTTTTTTAAAAGTAACTTAAAAATATGTTAGTCAGACATGGGTTCTGGCCTAGCAGTTAGGATGCTGCTTGGCGTGTCATATTGGAATGCCTTCTGATTTCAACCTCTTGCTAATGTGCATCCTATGATAGAAAAGCTGATGGTTCAGGCCTGGGTGGTGTCGCACGGTCATTTTTCAGCTGCAGTGCCTACATTTATATGGATCTCTGCGCTCTCCTGGGGATTCAGCTCTCTGCTAGTGATCTGGCAGAGCCACGGGCCTCTGCACCTATGTGAGAGACCCAGACGAGGCTCCAGGCTTCAGAACAGCTCAGTTCTCGTCATGGGAGCCATTTAGGGAGTGAACCAGCAGATGGAAGATCTCTTTCCTGCTCTCTGTAACTAATTCTGCCATTCAGATAAAATTAAAATAAAAATCTCTAAGAAAAAAAAAAAAGGTGATGGTTCAAAATCAGTGTCCCTACCAACTCTGTGGGTGATCTAGATTGTTCTGGCCTCCTGTCTTAGTCATGGCTGAGTCTGGGTTCTTGTGGACCTCTGCACCTTTGCGTATCATATATATGTGTGCATATATGTAATTAAAAAATACTAGTCAATGCTGTGGATGGGTAATAGATCAAGAAAGGTGTTTTCACTACTGCCAGTGAGAATGCAAATCAGCACAAGGTTTTGGGGGTCTTGACAGAAGCCAATCCCAATGAGATACGTGTAGAAGGTCTAGCATTTGTTTAACACGCACGTGCTTAATAAATGATAAATCTCAAGTGAAAAGAATATTAAAATGTGATTAGAGCGTGTAATGAGACATAACCAAATGGGAGGAGGCATGGGCCATTTTATGAAACAGCTTTATTGAGGTATAATTTGACACAGTGGAAAATTCTCCTGTCACATGTGTTGAGCTCAATTCATCACACAGCTGTGCAAATATCACCATAAACCAATCTCAGGGATTTTTTTTTTTTGTCCTTGGGTCTTTGCTGCATCATAAATAAAAACTTTCACTGAAAATTGGGGGTGGGGGGGGGGAAGGCAGGCAGCTGAGTCATTCGAACCAGCTACAAAGTATCCTATCTTTCTGTGTGTGTGTGTGTGTGTGTGTGTGTGTGTGTGTGTTTAATCCCCTCCTATCTCAATCATCTAAGTCAGAGCTTTCAGGGGGCGTTCACATCCTTCCAGCACGAAATGGGTTTTCACAGCAGCAGGAGGGTTCCTTTGCGATGGTTGCCAGCGCCACTTTGCCTGTAGGGCCGGAGCAGGCCCCATCCGGCACTGATGTGTGGGATCACCCTTCTTCATTAAAGTCAAACGGGTTCCATAGGATGGCGACGACGCTCGTCGCATATCCTAACGGAAGCGCAGGAACCAATCGCGAGCAGCTGCCTTTTTTTTTTTTTTTTTGTGGATCCTCAATCCTGCTAGCGTCTCCACATCCCACCTGGGAAGCCGGCCGCCCCGGGGTCCTCCAGCCTGGCCGGAGAGGGGGAGGCGGCGTGCAGAGAAGGGCTCTCTGCAGGCTTAGCTCGCTCTACAAATGCTGCGAGGGGAAGGCGCCGGAGCCCGCTCAGCCCCCACATCCCCCTTCACCGGCCTCCTACCTGCAGAGAAGCAAAGCAGGGACACCCGGTGCCTCAAGCGGCCCAAGCCCAGCACGGTGGGAGCAAAGAACATGGCTTCATCGTCCGGGTGCGCGATCACCACGAGGCTTCGGCTTCCGCCTCCCGGCAGGCCCGCCTGCTCCCGACGCTCCACTCCTCCCGCCGACTCCCACAGCCAGGGGACACCCCAGGCCAGGGCGGCCAGCACCCCGGCCACCGCACACAGGAGACCCAGCGCGTCCATGCCGGGGGTGAGTGGCATTGCGCTTGCGCAGCAGGAAAAGCTGCCGCGGACCCCGACTCCGCCGGGAAAACCGCACCCGCTGCAATTGCGTTCCGCGTTTAAAAGGCCGCTCTGACGCGACTCCACAAGTCAGACTTGGCGCTTGCAGCCAAGCACGTCTCTCCCGAGTTGTCTCCATTTCCCCCCTTCCTTCCCCTTCGGCATTTAAGTGCCTGCTGCTTGGTTTCTGAGCCGAACCAAATCCCTGACCATCCACTTTTTCGTTTGTTTTTCTAACTTTTGCCCTTGGGTTCAAAGGGAATTACTGTAACACACACTTGCCACATCTTGCAGGAAGAGTTGTCCCCAGTCTTTTACCTCTTTTTTTTTTTTTCTTTTTCTCAATCTTTAGGCTTTCTTGTCACTATATGGTTAGACAATCTGTAATCTCGAGAGAAGTTTTCCCAAAGTGGCATACACGCTAACTTTCTTCTTAAGCTTGGGGACTTCGGACCTGCGGTCTTTTTTTTTTTTTTTTTTTTTCCCCCCTTTAGAAAAAGCCTTCGGTTACGAGCACTCCCCTCCCCCTCTCGGCTCAGACAGGTCATGTTAGGGCAGGGTTGAGCGGCTACAGTTTCTCAGTTACTACCGAGAAACATGGTGGACACCTCTTCCGCGGCCGGCAGTTACGAATGCGATAGAGCAGGGTTCTGGAGAGTATCCCGGGTAAGGCGGACGCCCCTCCTCAGGTTCTCAAGAACCGCCGACTTGCCGCCTCGCAGGTCGGCCGGCCTCGATGGCGGGGGCCCCCGCGCACGGCCTGGCGCGCTTCCCTTTCCCACGCCCGGGGCTTGAGGGGAAGAAGGAAGGCCCCGAGCGCGCGCGGCAGCCGCCCGGCGTCCCCAGCAAGCCCGGCTGGCTCCGCGATGGCTGCCGCGCCGGGCCCGGCGGACGGAGGGCGGCCTGAGGGACGAGGCTGGGTGCTCGCCGTCGTCGCCAGGCCCATGGCGGGCGGGTGCGGGGCGGGGAGAAGAGACGTGACCCAGAAAGCTCGGCCGAGGCAGCAAGCGGCGCTCGGCCGGCGGAGGGAGTCGGTCCTCCCAGGCCTCCGGAAGGAGGAGGAGCCGCCGGTGTCGGAGCCGCCTTAGCCGCGGTCGACCGGCCTGGGGGGTGGAGGGGGAGGGAGAGGGGTTGAGTCAAGATGGCGGCCAAGGTGGCGAAGCAGCAGCGGCAGCAGCAGCGGCGGCGGAGGTGGCGGCGGCTGGAGTGAGCTCCGGGCCTCGGCCGCGCCGAACGAGGTCCCGGCGGAGGGGACGCGCAGTCCCGTCCCTCAGGCCGGGGGCAGGGGAGCGGGTGGCGCGCCGGCTCCTACGCTCCGCCAGCTCCCGGTGAGTAGGCCCCTTGGCGCCCGCAGCCCGGCCTCGGGGCCCCTGACTCGCCCCCGGGGCTTCCGAGGACTCCCTCCATATACCGGCTTCTGGGCCGGCTCGAACGGTCCTTAGCGAGATGGGGAAGGGTGTGCTCGGGCTTGGGGCGGGGGGGACCCCCGGGCCAGATCGAGGACCATCCCAGGGGCGCAGCTGCTTCCAAGCCTCCCCCCACTCCCGTACACACTGACTGCTCAGCCGTGCAGGGACGCGGCGGGCGCGGCGGAGAGCTCGGGCTGGGCGAGTGCAGAGCTTTATGGAGTTTGAGAGGAAGAATGGATTGCGGCCCGGCCGGTGCCGAGGTGTCCTGCGGGGAAGCGGGGCGTGCGGAGCCTTGCAGGGCGGACCGAGGCGGCCGAGCTGGGCGCCCGGGTGGGGCCGGCGCAGGTGGCCGGCCTGGTGGGCGCACCCCGGGGCGGACTTGGCGGCCGTCTCGTGGGGGGGGGGGAGTGTGGCAGGGATCAGGGAGGGTGACAGCGATGGACAAGTGCGTGGAGCGCCGGCTAGTTTCACCTTCCTGAGCCGACCGCTCTCGGGTGTAATGGCGAAGGGGTGGGTTAGTGGTGGAGGTGGCAAGCATCCGAACCCCGTGCCTTCCGCCGTTGTATTATTGATGTTTTCGGGAGGCCAAGGCGGAGAGGGCACCTCGTTTTTTTTTTTTTTTTTTTTTTTTTTTTTAGAAACTGGAATTGAGAACAATCCGTCTGAAAACGGAGAGAGAAAAGACCGACTTTGTCCATGTAGCAGGAGCGGGAGTGGTTTAGTTACGGATTAGAGGAACGGATGGGAATTAAGGGGTATTCGCGAAAAGTCGGTTTGCCAAGTGTCAGGTGTTTCAAGCCCCGGTGCGTCTCCCACCGAGTTAACCTTGGGTATGGGTAATTCTAATCTTTGGGAATAGTATGTTCACCTGCCTGAGATTTGCTTCCCTCATTATCTCCCCTAATTATCCCGAAATTTACATTCCTTGTGTGCAGCCTGGCAAAGCAAATGATGCGAGGCACAGAACATGGCAGTGTGGGGGATAAAAGCAACAGGCCTGTTTTTTTTTTAAATGCCTGCGAATTGTTTCATTCGTTCATCAAGACTGGATCTGTAGGGCCGGGTGCTGGTTCCCGTGTGATTGTTCTGTGCTTAAGTACCTGAAGTTGGTGGCGTTGTTACAGTATTTAATTTCTGATAGTTTTGTTGAAGGTGTTTTGCTCTGCCCTTTCATAATGATGTTTATTGGTTGGATCAGCTTTTGTACCTGCCTGGGCTCATGAGCAGATCCGTTTTACAGTCAGCATTATTTAAACATGAATGAGACAGAAGAAATGACCGCAAGTTGCTGGAGCGACCGGCCCGGCCCTGTGTGTTATTTTCTCATCTAGTTGATGTCCAGTGGGAAGTTTATTTAGTATTTATAGTCCTCAGCTGTTTTGCATTTTTTGTGCACACCTGTTTATGAAAATCAAGCTAGATCGATTATAGATGTGTATCTAACATGTGACACACTACAAAGTGATTGCTGGTAGTATCAAAATATTGCTTTACAAAAGGCTTTCCATATGTTGGGCTACTTCCCCGGAGGAAACACGTCTGATACAAAGATCCTGGGACTTCCTTTAACTATCTGTGGCATTTTGGAACATGAGCAACCTTTCTTTGGTTTCCTGGGCCATATTATTAGGAAACCACCTGTTCTTGGGTTGGCTGTTGTGAGCCTGAAGGGAGTTGGTCGTCTTGAAATTGCTTTCACCCGGTTGGAGGCTGAGCTTTCTGCGGTGCCTTATCAGCCCATCTCCCACGGTGCTCACACCTTCCACCTCGCCTTGTAGGTACTCATGCACGGGTTTATCTCCTTTTTAGAGTTGGTTAGACCCTCTTCTGATTTTATCTTTTAAATAGGAGTGTGTGTGTGTGTGTGTGTGTGTGAGAGAGAGAGAGTGTGGTATTGACACTGCAAATTTTTGTCGAATGAACAGAATTCTCATTAAAAAAATATATGCACATTACAGGTTAACCAGCATACACCTGTTATTTGCTATGACATATCTGTATGGTTGTGATTCTGTCCCATTAGCTCTAGAGGAATATGTGTGGTTTTTTTTTTTTTTAAAACTGAATGTCAGGATTAAAAAACAAAATTAGGCAAAGTACTTGGCCTATAATCATAATTTAAAGAAAAGCATGAAATGTGGATGGTGAACTTATGTTCTGTGGAGCCGAGTAAAAGTTTGCCCCATGGCTACATAATTTTAGTTTTTTTTTTTTTTTAAGATTTGCTTATTTATATTTAAAAGGCACATTTAGGAGAGACAGGGAAAGGGAGAGGTCCTCCGTCTGCTGGTTCACTGTTCAGAAGGCCACAGCTGTGGGAGTTGAGCTGCTCTGGGGGCAAGCAGCTGCGTCTGGATCTTCCACATGGGTGCAGGGGTTCAAGGACTTACGCTGTTTTCCCAGGAACGAAGCAGAAAGCTAGGTAGGCAGTGGAGCAGCTGGGATTAGAGCTGGTGCTAGTTTGGGATGCCAACTGCAGGAGAGGATTAGCCTGTTGAGCCACTGTGATGCACCAATTAATCCTGTTTTTAACAAGCGTTAATAAAATAAGCTTGTGAAGTGGTGGGACTGCCTTGCCATTGTGGCCTTTGCATGTAGGTGACTGTCCCCCCATTTATTACTCAGTTTTCCTGTTTAAGCCTGAGAGTGATAGAGCCCTCGCATATTCCTTCACTTCTGTTACTTTAGATGGCGGGTTTTATTTTAAATATGGTACAAAGCAGAACAAAGGTTGGCCAGAATTGTCATGCACACACTTACTTGTAGGTTAGATATTCATATATTTTGTTCAGTCACTTGCAGGGCACATTGGTAAGTATAGTTAAGCACAGATAGTGTCATCTATAGATTGCCTGCTGTTTTGTCATTTTCAGGTGTGAGGAGACAAGAGCAGTTACATTGTTAAGAAGCTGCTTCATTTCTTTTTCATCAGGACCGGCTTAAGAGTATGAAAAACAATAAGTCTGTAAATTAGCAACAGTTGTATGTGAAACTGCCGTTTGTTTTGTGTGTGCTGTGCTTGTGGTGGTCTTCTGTGAACATTAGCGCCGTTCTTCCCACCATTTTGGTGTGGTCAGAATGTTTCCTGGAGGGTCTTCAGATACAACTTGCTCTCACCAACCCCCTCCTCTGCATTTGAAAGTCGGAGACCACACAAAACACCCAGTGTTCTGAGGACCCCTGGGGTTCCTTCCCTGGGTGCTGCCATTACTTTGATTTAGCAGTGTTCCCCAAAGCAAACGGAATTGGTTCAGTGAAGATGCTAGCCAAGCAGTAGAGGATCTGGTCTTACCTGTTCTTCCTTGGGGGAGAGGAGGTGGTGTGCCGCGGCTGTGCTTGGCCGGAGCGGAGTCCAGCTCTTCGCACATCCGGTTTAGCGTGCGTGCCACGTTCCATGTCGTCCACCTTTCATGGGGTTTCACGTAATGGTTGACACTTACAAATTGGATGGGATGAGAAATGAGAAATCAGTGTGGATACTCAACTGAAGTGTGGAATTTAAGATATTTATGTAATTCAAATACAGTTGGCAAAAAAAATGGGTTTTGATCAGT